TATATGTCTATGTGTATATGTGCATATGTGCATATGTGTATATGTGTCTAGATGTATATGTGTATATATGTATATGATGTATATGTATATTATGTATATGATGTATGTGTGTTTGTGCATGTGTATGTGTATGAAATGTGTATGTATATGTATCAGCCTATTTACTGAGTATTTCCTGAGTTCCAGACACTATACTGAACTTGATAAAGGTAACATCTCATTTAATCCTATGGAATAAGCACTATTATTACCATGATTCACAGAAGCACAGAGAGGTGAAGCCACTTGGCCAGGCTAGTTTGAACGAGGACACAAACTAGAGCTCTGAGCTGGTTTCACTATGACACCTGAGCTTTCAGACTGTGATTGTGGGGCTGGAACAGTGTCCCTTCATATGAAATATGGAAGCTGAATCCTAAAGATAGGACCTAATCCCAAAGGAGATGCTTCATCAGCACCTACTGAGAACAAAATCCCCACAGAATCAACAACGAAGTATGGGCCCCATGTTTCCCAGCTAGCTAAAATAACCTTCTGTGGGAGTAATCTACCTGTCTTCCAGTCCATTGCATTCACTCTGCCACTGTGAATAACATATCCCAGTGCATGCCAGCCAGTCTGCTCACCCTGCACCAGAATACCAACAAAACAGAAACCCGCCAAACACGAGGCCCTGAATACTTAACCGCGTTCATCACTCAGCATTAATAATTTGAATGATCTATGAAGATTTGACTTTGCAGGGAATTTGTCTATCTATGGTTGCAAGGTTGTATAAGATTATGCCTCTGAGCTTTGGGGATAATTAATTTCACGACCAGGGAAATCCCAAGAGAGATGCAAATGAGATGTGAGATTCAATTGAACCCCCGCCTTAAGTAGCAACCATGACTTCAGCGACAATTCACAGCCTGCAGGTTCAGAACTCCTGTTCCCCTTGTCTAGCCTGGGGCAATTCCAGTTTGCTCAGAGCAGAATCATTTAAGTATATCTGAAAATATATTCGTATTACAGGCTGGGAGAAGAATATACGTGCCTTAACCTGGATAGACTCGAAGAATTAACATCCCTTTGCTATAGAGATCAAACCGCCCGTTCTTTAGAGCGGTATATGCCAGATGCATGGAAAGGGTTTAAGGTTAAATCTATGGTGAAATGAAAAGGGGGTTTGTTCCACGCCTGTGAGGGGAAACAGGCACATCCCCAGAGCACCACATGCACACTCTGCAAAGCAGAAAACTAACGTTAATCAGGCTGGTCGTTATACTACACTCGGTTTGTTTTTTGTTTGTTTGTTTTTGGTTTCTCGAGACAGGGTTTCTCTCTATACCCCTGGCTGTCCTGGAACTCACTCTGTAGACCAGGCTGGCCCAAACTCAGAAATCCGCCTGCCTCTGCCTCCCAAGTGCTGGGATTAAAGGCGTACGCCACCGCTGCCCGGCTCAGGTTTTGTTTAACATAAACTAACAAAAGGAAATGAAATCCCTCATGACGCAGATAAGCACCTGTTAACTCATTTTTAGGGCTGACTAAGGAAGCGTATCCTTGAGACGTGTCTCATTTATGTATCACGTTTATAGTAAACCAATGAAGTGCCCAATCTTTAATGCTAGCATTTGCCACCAGGCATGTGCATTTCGAAAATATAAGTAGATAGAGAATAGGTTTCTCTTCACATCTATATTCCTTCTTTGAATTTTTAAGTAAAGTAAGGAAAATAAGTGAGTCGATCCTGAGAACAAAAACCCTTAAGTGGCTAGAGGGACCAAAGCAAAGGGGGCTGATTAAGGGACAGATCTGAATTTTCTGGTAACAGCATGATAAATTCACCCTGGGCCAGCTATGGTCCTCAGGTTCATAATCCCTGAAATGCAATTATTACCATGGTTCCCAGCAGTGCAAGACTTTAGGACTCCTCTCAGATCCCAATGAAAACCACACGATTCTAGCCTACAAGCATAATTGCCAGTTTATGAATCTTGAGTGGAATTTCTCTCTAAGATGGAGGACATGCACCCTGATGGCCATGAACAGTTAGACTTCCACATGATGCATTACAGGAGCATGTGTTCAAATCAATGAACTTCCACTGGGGGCGCAGCTCAGGAGCAGTACTCTTACCTAGAGACACAAGGGCTGAGGTTCAATTCCCAAAGCAGGAAGAGAGAAAAAAAAGGAAGTGAGACTTGAAAGTTGACAGGTCTGGAGACACTAGAGTTCTGTCATGAACTAAAGCAATTATGTCCTGAGAAAATGTCTCTATCATAAAGTAGTTGCTTTGACACGCATAAGCCTAAGGACCTGAGTCTGAGTCCCATGGAAAAAGCAAAGCACAGCAGCAGGCACTTGGGAGTCCACTGCTGGGAAGGCTGACAGGCGGACTCCTAGAAGCTCACTTGGTGAGCCTACCAGGCCAGGGAGATACCTCACCTCAGAAAGAGGCCAGATGAGAAATAATATCCAGGTTGTCCTCTGCCTTCCACATGCATGTGCACTCGTGTGCAAATGCACTCAGAGTCTCATGTATACCAGAACACACATGAATACACATGTAGAGAGAGACTTAAAAAAAAAAACCAATTGTGTTTTGTTAAAGAAATAGAGCACCACAGAAGCTAAATGTTTAGCATCTGAGTGCACCAAGGCTTAGGTTTAAGTCCAGCCCAGCTCTTTTCCTAACCTTGGGAAAGCTTGCTACAGCTCAGTTTGCTCTTCTGAACAAAGGTAGTGGGGTTGGGGATCCACTTAGAGTTTATGTAATGGTAGCTAGAAAGATGTAATGGTACCCAGAAAGTACACAGTATGTGTTCACCGTTGATTTCCTAGATGAAGGGTCGGTACGGGGGTTTTGAGATGAAAGTCGGTCTTCACAGCAGTGTCTAGATGAAGAAGTAGATGGACTTGCCATCATCACCTTCAGTTGGATGGTGGGGCTTGCAGACACATTCACCGTCAGATGGTTTTCATGCGACAACCTTTAATGCCCGGTCATTATGACAACCGAACTGAAATTCTCTTATGGGGACAAGAGTTTTCTCTCTCACCAGCCATTTTCCAGGCACTCCTCCCTCAGGTGGGGTGGGATTCTAATTCTCTCAAGTAAATAAGTTTCCCCAGTTTGTAAACTAGAGCCTGTAAGTTTCAGCCTCCAAGCTTGGATTTTCTATGCCATGGTATCAACTCATGGAGATTGTCTTTAAAAATATTTTTTTTCTGCACTAAACTATTTCCCTGTCAAAATGCCATAGTGTTCCACCTACAATACTTCCACAGTTCCACGGTTCCTAAATATATAGTACAAATAACATATAAACAATGAATATAAACCTCATCGTTCATCGGTCTGCAGGGAAACCACAGTGCAATATACAGATGCTATAATGCTTCTTCATCCACATTTCACGCCTCCCTGCATTGAGTATTGCATTTACAGAGCTCATAGTGCCCTGTAAAACCATACGATGTTCATTATAGAGCCCATGTTACAGTATAAAGCTCATATAGTGTCTTATAGAGTCCCCACTCTGCTCCATGGAGAGCATACAGTGCCCAGTATAGAACACGTAGTGCCCCATATGGAGTGCACGACACCCTGCCTGCAGTTGAACATGCACTTGTATAAGGAGTTCTTACTCTTCTGATGAATCTCATAGTGTTTCTCTTCGTAGCTATCGCCACAGTGGTATAGTGCTTATAAAGAAATCCATGACTTCCTGGCATCTTAATACTGAACTCATACCTATCCTGTCTAGAGCTTACTGCAAACCTTTCTAGAGATTTCAGTGCCTAG